GATTTTCCTTTAAAGGAGAAAGATGGGGGAAAGTGGCTTTTCCCTTGCAGGCTGGCAGAGTCCCATGCCCCACGCCTACCTGACATGACACAGCAGGGAGCTAGGGGCAGCCAGTCAGGAGTGAGGGACACTGGATCAAGACTGGCCATCGATGTTCCCAAATGGTTCCTGGTTCAAAAAAAGGTTGAGAACCGCTGGTTTAGATGATGGTTGTACGATGGTTTGCATAGGGATGATCCTGCCTCAGGCCCGGGGTCAGACTAGATGAGCCCTGGAGGTCCCTGCCAGCCCGACTTCTCGAATGACTCGACCAGCAGGACGACACCCACGTGCACCGACCCGTCAACTCGTATAGACGTGACCCGCTTCACTCGGCCTGGAGGGCAGGCGGGGACAGGGGTCCTGGGCTGGCCTCTAACAACATGTCCAAAAGCGATGGAAACGTCTCTTTCTGTCAGTGTTGACAAGGCTGGCTTCCAGCTGCAGGCGCAAGACAGGGAGCGCTGCTCTCCCCGCATCCCATCGCCCCCTCTCCGGCTGTGCGGGCGGGCAGAGGATCCCACCGCCTCCCTCCAGGGCGACTCCCCCGACTGCGCAAGCGCGGGCTGTGGGGCAGCGGCGCGTGTTCAGCGAGGCGCGGAGTGCGCATGCGCCGGCGCCGCGCGGGCTGGGTGATCCGGTGAGTGTTGGGCCCCGCGCCGGGTCTCCAGTCTTGGCTCAGTGGGGCACCGCAGTCACCGCTGCCGTGACGTCACAGTGCACTTCCACTGTGACGTCACGACGGGGGGCCTGTTTCAGTCTCTTTGTCCAGAGCGGGGTCCGGGCTGGTTCCTGCCCTGCGGGGGGAGGGGAGAGGAAGGGGTTTCCTTTGCCAGCTGAGTGGTAGAGGGCTCTCTTCGCGCAGGGGATTTAGGAGCCGGCCTGGAAGCCCGGGGGTGAGTGCGGGGCACAGTCCCTGGGCACTGGGGAAGGGGCCAAACTAGCTAGCTGCTACGGATTCACCATCACGGCACCAACCAGAAGTCTCCCCTTCCTCTTCGCCACATGCACCCAGCCGCGTCCCGACCCGACACTGCTGTCCCTTAGGCCCAGTCCCTTGCCCTTATGGGCAGCAGGGTCTGGGGTGCCTTTGCTGGGCTGACCCAGTTCTCATAAAAGTAGCGAGGTTCTTGTCCCCGCTGCTCTCGTTGGAGGCTGCTCCTAGTTTTCAGGCAGGATTTATTCATGGCTAGTTGCTCTTTTGCTGATCTTGTTCTTCAGGTTAAATAATTCTTCCCCTCCCCCCTTGATGTTTAGTCCCTTGGGTATATTTGTGGGGGGCCCGTCATCTCTGCTCAGTCTGTCTCCCTTAGCTAAACAAGCCCTGCTTGTTTAATCTCCTTTTGTAAGAGGCTCTCAGTCAAGGCATCCTAAAAGCCTTTCTGCGCACGGTTTAAGTCTGTTTTCCTTCAACAGGGGCCACCAGCATTGCATACTTCGTTCCAAATAAAGGTATTCACCAGAGCTTCATTCAGTGACATTTGTACTTCTTTAGTCTCTCCTGGAAATGTCTTGCTTGATACATCCATCTTTTTCATGCATTTTCTGTTTAAAGTGTACTGCACTTGTATTGGTAATGGTAAATGCGTTATTTGGTAAACAACACAATGGTGAGCCCAATGTTTTGCTTATTGCTTACTTTATAACAGGTGTTCAGGGATTTCGTAAGTTTTTCAGGGTTGGAAGGGACCTTAGCAGATCATCATCCCCCAATCTGTATCTCTGTTGGTGATCCCTTCTTCCTAGGTGTAGTACTCTGCACTTATCCTTGTTAAACTGCATCCTGTTTTGTTCTGCCCACTTTTGCAGCTTGTCCAAATCCACCTGAATCTGTTCCCTGCCCTCCAGTGTGTTTGCTTTGCCCCATAATTTGGTGTCATCCACAGATTTGGACAGTGTACTCACTACGCCCTTGTCCAAATCACTGATGAAGATGTTGAACAGTACTGGCCTGAGGACCAAGCCCTGGAGGACACCATGGCCCACATCCTTCCAGGTTGATACCAACCTGCCCACTACCACTCTGTGGGTGTATCCCATTAGCTAATTTGCCACCCACCTGACTGTGTAATCATTTAAGTCACAGCTGCTTAGGTTTTTTTTTATGAGAATGGGATGTGACATTGTATCAAAGACTTTTTTTAAATCCAAGTGTATGACATCCACCTGGACTCCTGCATCTAAGCAGTTTGTAACCTGGTCATAAAAAGAAACAAAGTTTGTCAGGCAGGATCTACCTGCTATGAATCCATGCTGGTTGCCCTTCAGCATTACTTTTTCTGCTGGACTCACACAAAAGTATTCCTTAATAATTTAAGCATTGGTTATCTTTGTATCAGATAGCTGCCTTAGCTGCTTAAGTGCATAGGAACTTACTATCCACTTTTTAGTGTAATTATACTCTTTTAACTGCATAATTTGTGCAGCTGACAAAGACAGGGGTGATCAGCTCGTGCGCCAGATCCAGCCTGTAAAGCTATGTCATCTAGCCTATTGAAAATTTGGCAGCAGGGGAGTGGAGGCAGCTAATTGTCTCTCTTGTGCTGCCAGATTTCCGGACCTATGGGGAGCCCCGTGGTACAGATAGTATGGCCCTGAGTGCTACACTGAGCACATGGGGCCAGTTTCGGGCAGCACAGAGCTGACAGGGCAGTGCGGGGCCAATCGAGGCAGGTTGGGTTAGCCGGACGTGGTGTGGGGCTCAGTGGTGGGCAGCATGGGGCTCATTAGTATGGTGGAAGGTAAGATAGGGTCTGTCTCATTCTGCTGCTCAGGGCTGGGCATAGGTGGTGTGGGCCTGATCTGGCGTTGCACCACTCATCCAACCCAAAATTTTGAGTACCACTGGACTGGGAGGTGGCAGTTTCAAGGCCTTGGTTTTGAACTGCGATGGTCCTGTCAATTCCAAGGTGACCATTAGAGCCATAAGGCACTCTGAGTAACAAGGTGAGGGCCTTAATGAAGTGCCAGAAGCTACACACAGGCTGCTTCTTTAGTTAGTTAGCATTGTTCACATTGAGTTCAGATAAGTGCATAGCCTTTGTTAGTTTAGAGGCTGTGCACATAAAAGGAGTACTTGTACCTCCATGTCTTGATTACTCTCCAGAAGTCCTGAAGCCTATATACAACTGAAGCTAATCTGATACATCCAGTTTCCTGTACTTTAATGTGTTCCAAGCAGTTTGTTACCTTTTTATATATTGATAACTCTCACATGTATCTCTCTGCTGATAAGCTGTCTCATTTTATGTAGGCTGGTATCTCATCCTCTCTTTCTAACACTTCATTTAGGCATCATAACCAACATGGCCAGAAGTGAAATGCTGGTATTCTGCTCTAGTCCTCTTTCTGGGTAGTGTATTGACAGACGCTGCCATCTGCCTTCTGATCAATTGACTCTGTTGTCAAGGTGCCACTCTTTAGTGTATTTTTTAAATTTTGTTAAATGCTGGTATTTTTCCTTTACACAGTATCACCAAAATCAGTCTTTCTCATCTGTATTCAGTTGGGACCCACATCAAGGCCCTCAGTTTGTTATGACTTGTCTACTGTAACTTGTCTACTGTTATCTAGCCTATTCAGAATCAAGATGACTTCTTTGTTCCACATCTGAACATGTGAACCACGTTTTGAGTGACTGCGCTGGTTTCATGTGCACTTCCACTCAAATGCAAGTGTAATGCTTTTACTTTTAAGATCCTTCATGAATCAGTCTTCTGTCTAGTTTGGGGTGTCAAACTCATCTGGACCGATGGGCTGGATGAGGGGCATCAGGCTGGTCTGTGGACTGAATTGGGCCCATAGACCAGCCCCACCTGCTGGATCCAGGGCACACTGGACCAGCTGTGCATGCTGCTTGTATTGTGTGCCAGCTCCAACCCCATGTGCAGCATGCAGCACATGGAGCTAGTATATGGTGTGCACTACACACAGCATGTGGCACTGGTCTAGATCACGTGCTCTTTGTGGTGCCTGCAGTGGACCAGACCTACATGCTGGATCCAGCATGTAGGGCTGGTTTGTGGCCCTGATTGAGACCAGCCCCAGATCCAGCACGCAAGCCAGTGTGGTATAGGCAGCACATGCAGCACGCACACTAGATTGGCTGCATATGCATTGTGCCCTAGCTCTAGCCTGGCATGACATATAGCACACAGGGCCAATTCAGGATGTGCACTACATGTGGTGACTTCACCAGGCTGGGCCCTGCACACTGAATCTGGGTCTTTGGGCCACATCCTGACCAGCCCTAGATCTAGCATGCAGGGCCTGTCTGGAGCAGGCACTGCAAGGAGCATGTGGTGCTGGGACTAGCACATGCTGTATACAGCAGGCAGCACTGCAAGCTGGATGATGCAGCTCTGCTGGCTGTATCCAGCCCACAGGCTGGATCTTTAGCACCCCTGGTCTAGTTCATTTGGTAATATAGTCCCCTTCTTCCTTTTACTAGCATTTTGAAACTTTTTTACCACTAGTCACTGTGCTCTTAACTCATTTTCTATAACCCCGGCTCTCCTTATGCTTCAGGAAGACTCCTGTAAAATAGCTGCAAAACCATGATTCTTTATATTCCTCCTTCCTTTTTGGTGATCATATTTCTTATAGTTTGTTTTTTTTATCTACTGTCTTACTGCTTGTAGCCTGAATAAAAGCAAAATGGAAAAAAGAATCCCTGCATTCCTATAACTAGTAATGCTGTTGCAACTCTTTTCCATATTAATTTGCTTGTACATTGTGTCTGCATCTTTTCCTTTTTGTGTTTTTTTTTGTCCATAATAGTCGTCAATATGGTAGAGTCCCAATCCTGAATGTGGCCTTTGCCTCCCACCCATGATTAAATGTTTAAGTATCATCACTGTTTGATACAAAGTATGATGACTAATAAGTGTATCGGTTTCTTGTGTGGTTTATTTTCCCATACATGGAAAGAAAAGTGACCTAATCCATTTTATTTTTTAGGTAATTTTGACCTCCTCCTTGCATGTTGGAAGGTGATGTACAAATCTGTGGTGATTGACTGTAGAAACTTGAATGAGAATGCCTACTCTTGAACATCCAGAGTATCCTGAAGCAACTCTGCTTCACTTGGAAAGTATAATGCCCTGTCGAGAATCCCAGATGTCCACTTTGCTGTCAATATTTGGAGAGGTAGATCTTTCTGTTCTATTTTTGAGTGGATTGTAGATGTTCAACTAACATGTTTGCTTTATGAATGGGTTGAGAGTTCGTAAGGCATTATTTCTACGAATAATGCCTCAGCTAGCTTATTACACTAGTAGGTTGGAGGCCATGTTCCCTGTAAGATGTAGCGGTCTGTGAGCGCACTGCTTCGATCCATTCCCAAATTGGTCCCCTTTCGGCATGCACCGCTTTGGTCCACCCCACAGTTGCTCTCCTTCCTGCCCCGTGCTGCGCCTGGCAGGTAGGTGCAGGTAGATCCCCCATTGTCGCAACCATGATTTTTTACTGTGTGCAGCTATGCATGCCCACAGCTTAGAGGGAACACTGCTTGCAGGATATTGTATCCCCATCTTTAATATTGGCCAATAGGTGTATAAAAATCCAAGGTCCTCTGCTTTCTGGAAGGGAAGGGAGCTTTATGACTTCTCTTCCCCTCCTGGCTGGTATAAGGAGCTAGATCTTCATGATTCTGCTCCTCTCCCAGTGGCCATTAGCTGCTTCACGGTAGCAAGAAAGAAAACTGCCTTGCTACCATTTTTACCACTCCAATGAGTTATCTTTTTGGGTGGTATTTTGGTATTGCCTCTCAAACAGCAGCATGTCACTGGTATAATTCTCACTATCTTCATTCTTGCTTTAAAGCTCTGAAATAGATGACTTGTTAATTTTGCCTTGCTTCTACTGGGCAAAGATGTGGCAGTAGCAAAGCAATGGAGCTTCTTGTCTGCATGTTGTAGACTTGTTTCATAATATGGAAATGAGCATTGATAGTTTGTGTATTTACGGTTCTGTATTTTATTTTACAAGATAGTGAACTTGTCTATACATGCATTTAATGCACCTGAATTTCTGTATAGAACATTCAGGTTCATTAAACTGTGCCCAGGCACACATCTGAACGTGTGTCTGTTGGGAGCAGTTTAGTCCAGGACTGTTCCTGCCTTGCTCTGACCCCCTGCAGCAGCCAGGGGCAGCTGCCTGGCAGGGAGCACAGGGCTCAGGCCTAGGTTCCTGGGGGGTAGGGGGAGCTGTCCAGGCTCCAGGGGGCAGTTCTTCCCTGCCTCATGGAGATCAGGGCCAGCTGGGAGGGAACTGCCCTGGAGCTGGGACAGCTTCCACTGCCCCGTAGGGATTTGGGCTTAGCCAGGCAGCAGTTGTAGCCCCCTGCTGCCTGGGGTGACCAGAAGGAAATAGCTCCTGTCAGAGTCTACATGTGTGCTTCAGTGCATTAGTTAATGCGCTGTTTTTCTAGTACCACTATGTATTGGTATTACCAAACGACGCATTAGACTAATGCTCAGTAATTGACATGCATGTGTAGACAGCGATGCTTTACTGTGCACTAGATTAGTATAAAAGATTTGCCCTCTGTAAAGTGTCTTATGTAGATGCACCCAGTAAATATATAAAATTTAAATATTGGCGTTTGATTCATTTATTGTAACAGCAAGGGCTACAAATTTAATATTTTAAATGAAAGTTTACGTTCCGTCAGTGTGTATGGCTTATGTTTTTTCAGACTTCCAAGAAAGCTTCTTACATGTCACTGGAGAGTAAATTTTCCAAGTTCAGTCTTTAGGATGTGTTACATTACTCATCTAACTATGCTGGCATTTATTTTGGGTTTGTGAGCTGAGGGCTGAGTTACGTTTTTTGTTCTAAAAAAGTTTTCTCTGTTAACTTGATGTTAACTTTTTTGATTAATATAAAAATAAAACTAATATACAAGAGCCTTGGAAGCTGTGACAGGCTTATTCTGAAGATATAATTATTTTCTATTTTTTAAAATGAATTAGGTCAATTTCCATTTTTCCTTTTCATATCAACCTTTTTTCTTTTAATTCAATTAAAGTACTTTGTCTTGATCATAGAGAACTGGATGTTTAATAGAAGGCAAATCTTTCAGAGCACATCAGTGATTTGGGACCCTGAGACCATGCTGAGACTACAAGTTTCCCATTCCTGGCAGTGATGCCTTAAATATGGCACAGTACTCCACATATGCTATTGTTTGGTCTCCAGCCAGAAGCAGACTGCTCACATCTGACACTGAGGGCCATCCAGAAGTATCTCTATTGGTTATTTTTGGGGCATGATGGGTAGCACAGAGCAGTGCATGTTTAGAGGTGCTGTTGCAAGACTCAGTATGTTTGTGTGATCTAGATATGGCCTGAGTCCCTTTTGAAAATAGGACTGAAGATCATAAATCATTTATGTGCTTTTGAAAATGTCATCCAGTGTCTTGAGCTGCCAAATAACTGCTTAAACTTGGGGAAGCAATAACAGATCTTCAAAAATTCATTTTTATTGGTTCTTCAAATGATTTAAAACTTAATAAAATTTCTCTGAAAAATACATCATGAAACTATTGAACAGATAAGATTATCTTGTTGGGTAGTGCCTCCAGATGTAGAGGTAATAGGTAATGGGGCCCCTATCCCTTTTTCTTCTTCTTCTCTACTGCCTCTGCTGTAATATTTCCTGTCTTGATTTTACTAAATTCTCATGAAGAGACAATATTTTGTAGCTTCCACATTAGACAGTATTGGCAAGTCAAGTTAAAGTCTACCATTGATATTCTCAACCATGGTGCCCCAATAACTTAGGGTGCTTTGAAATCTTTTTAAGGGTGCCACAGGGTTACAAACAGTATTAATACTGTTAGGTTTGTAAGCACAATTCACAAGATAAACCCAGAGATTTTAAATAGGAATTCATAGTATTAAAAACTTTCTGACTGGTTGTGGTCTTTCTGAGTTCTTTGCAACAGAAGAATTGCTCTGTTATTTTTCTTCAGTCAAAAAATCAGTGAAAAATAGGAGCTGTAATTTTCTGGGGGGCACCTTGAGTCTAAAAAAGTTCAGAACCACTGGTCTAACAGCTGCCCTTATTTACCTAACTGAACTAAGAGCATGCCATTTTGCCCCTTAGGCTTCCTCTTAGGTGCAGTTGTGGCAATAGGAAAACTAACTGGAAGAGCTGTGCCCACACAGGGTGGGCTGGGGGAAGGGGAAGGCTGCCTGCCATAGTGCTAATACCATAGTTAAAGCAGCAGCAGCATCCCATACTGTGTAGACCTAGCCCTAGTCAAGATGTCAGTGGTGGCTTTAGGCTATACTTGATTTTTTTTAAACTCTAATAAGGACCAAAGTGATGTAATGTCATATTTCATTTCAATTTGTGTATTCTATATTGAGTGCCTTAATTTAAAACAAAGTCTTTCTGCTGGCAGGAAACTTGATGACTCAAAGTCTTTAAATCTCTATTAAAAAAATTCCTTTTTAACTTTTCTCCTAGCGTCAGCAATATAGCTTCCCATCTATCTTTATCTATGGACATACATCCAGTGGAAAAACTTACGTGCTACAAACTCTTCTAAAAACACTAAAGGTAAGAATAATTTCAAATTCATACTGAATTCAGAAAGGCTTAAAACCAGTGAATAATTAAAAACAAATCCCTCAAGGAAGCTACTTGCTATTTGGTGAAGATCTCCAAAAACAATTGATTTTCCTTCCTTGACTGTCTCTGTTTTCTTCTTGTCTCTCATTTTATTGCAGAAAGGATCCTCTCTCCCCAAGCAGTGATACACAATGTAATACAAATTAAAATATAACATTGGCCACCATGGCCTTTGTTAGAAATTTAAAAGAAAGCTGCAGATAACCTTAATGACATTTTTTTTATGTGAGGATTGTTGAGCTAAGGGTGGCTCTTAGTGAAGAGTGACTTCTCCCGGAATGACTGAATGAGTAAAAGCATAGTAACTGACTGATCATACCTGTTCACACCTTACATTTTTAACTGAGTAATTTACTTTTTGACCACCCCCCACTTTTTCCCATAAAAATGGGCATTGTATAAATACTGAATCCTATAATGCGACTAGTTGGTGGCTAATTGTGTTCTAATGGCATCTAGGCTAGGGAGAGACATTACACATAAACCAGTTTAAATGATCAGAAACTGGTTTAAATCTGTAACAGAACAGATGTTCAGTGCACATAAACCATTTTGAAAATGGCTGAAACCGATTTGAGATTAAACCTAGTTAAATGTAGTATCAGACTTAACTGATTTGTGTCAAACTGGTTTATGCAATGTCTGTCCCAGACCCCTTGCTGGTTTAAGAGAAACCAGACACCCCCAGCATCCTGATATGCTCTCTGGGCTGGGCAGGGCTCTCTACTCCACATCAGAGCTGGCCCCTGTCCTTTGCTCCCTGGTTGCAACTCTGGTAGAGACTTGCAGGCACAGAGCGTCTGCCTGCATTTGCCCTGCTGAGCAGGAATTCCAACCCCTCCCTCCTCCCCCCTCCCCATGCTTTACACAGACACCTCAGCAATAGCTAGCAGACCACATCCTGGCTACGATCAGTGCTGTGGGAGACGACAGGCTTTTTGGAGCTAATCAACAGGCAGCTTAATGTCCTTCCTTGGAAGAGCTGTTTAAGAAAAGCTCTATTAGTTAATGGAGAGAGGCTTTATTTTCTCAATAGGTTGATAAACATTGAGTTAGGGGTGATAAACATTCCTTGCTGGGCTGTTTAGGAGGTAGGGAGAGGAATAATCAAAGCATCCTGCCAGGGCCTGGCCGGCCCCCCATCAGCTCAGCCCTGTCAAAGTGAAGGGAGGGCTGCCACAGCACTCCCTGGCTTCTATCCTGAGCCACTGCAGGCACGTGCCTGCATTTCTGGGATGTCTGTCTGGTTAGAAAACTGATTTAGCGTAGCCAGGTTAGATGATCTGCAAAGATTGAATCAATTCAGGCTCAGGCTTTTTGAATGTCTGTCACTAGCCCTAGAAACCCCAGTCATGTTCAGAGCTTCATTTTGTTAGGTGCTGCGCAAACAGAAGACGCAATCCTTACCCTCATCAGGGTCCAACCTAATTTAAGATGGAACATGAGAGGGAGTAATAAGCATGCATAATTATGTGGATAAAATATAAATATTTTACATTAAATATTGGATTTTACTAGACTTGGTTTTTAGAATTTAATTTCAGTATTTTTTTCACTTTAACAGTCAACATGTTTGAAATGAGCAATCTTGATAGCGTCTCTCATTCCTATTTTCCTAATCTTCAACTACTTCCTTTTTCACAGACAGCCTTTTTTCTACGTTGTATTCTATCGCTGTAACATCCTCCTTTGGCCTTTCCCCCCCCCGTTTTCTCTCCCCTTCTCTCTCTTCTTTACCTTTTGTCTTTCTAATTTCTACCTATTTACATTCTCACTGACATTCTGCCACACTTAGCTTCTCTCATTTATTGGCGTCTCAGACCAGCAGAGACTCCCTATGCCAGAAGAGGGGTGACTGTGCCTGAAAGCTTGCTAAGAACTTTTTTTTGCAACTACTCAATTGGTCTAATAAAAGGTATCACATCTACTCAAAGAACGTTGTTTGCCTGTGTCCTTAGACCAACACAGCTACAACTAAAAACCCAGCAATCTCTATAAAATTTACCTATACTATAATCTACTAAAATACTCTAAAAAATATTCATGCTGTCCATGTTTGCAGCCAGTTTTAAATGAAGTCAAATCACTGAACTAGTGAAACTCATTGCTTGAGCACCTGGAACCAGACTTTGCTTTTGTAGCAGTAGGCTTTTCTGCAGGTGCAGAAGAGAATGTTATCTTCATTATAGTTTATTTAACTAGTTCAATTCAACAAGTAGCTCTTTTACACTTGAGAAACTGATTGAGATTTATCAAATCAGGAAAGCATATCTTCCTCTTTAAAGGCATAAATAAAATTAAAAAAAATCAGGGCTCTCATTCTAAAGGCCTACTTAGAGAAGCATCCAT